TTTTATATCGAAAATTTTTCATTAATGCTTCTAACAGACGGTGATTTTTTTTTTTTTTTTACAGCGAAATTCTGTCAAACGACAAGCAAGATGTCCATTCCCTCGTCCATTCACTCGATCGATTGAAATTCCGGTTGCAATTTAGAAGCGTCTGACCATTCCTCCGACTGTCTGACCATAGCAACGATATTCCACTTACGCGACGAGTCGTTTAAATATCTAACAGAAACCTATTCGACCGAATGTCACGTCATCCTTCGAGAAAAAAAAAAGAAAGAAAGAAAAAAAAAAACCCGCAAAAATATCAGACATTGAATTTTCCTTGGATCCAGACACGTTTAATTGCTTGTGACAATGCCCGCCTGCCCGACCTGCCTGATAAAGGACATTTAATAAACGCCAAACTGTTTTCCTAAAAATTTCAGCATTCGCATTTTTATACTTCTTTTTTTTTTTAATCTTTTCTTATTGTTATTATAGAATTATTTTTTTCTATATACATACAGTGAATAACAAAAGTATTTGGCATATTATTTCACTCGTTTACGAAATTTCATTAAAATTATTCATTGAAATTAGGGGAATATTCTTGTAAAATGATGAAAAGATATGAACATTTTTGTAATTGATTTGAAATCAATATTTAAAAATTCGATTAATTTGAAATAAGTGAATATTATTTTTATTTTACATGCAATGAAAGTTAAAAAATCGTGGAATAATCGAGTATTGAAAATACGTAAGAAATATCGAGAAATAGTTAAAAATATATATATTTGGAAAACTTTTATTTATGAATAATGTAATATGCTCACCGTACTGCAGGTACTTCTAAAATATCCCATTCTACCGACATGTAGAATTCGGAGAGGTCGACTCCGACATCCACCACATTGCTTCCCGATTTCTCATCCATATGCCTTAGATCGACCTGCTCGAAACAAAAGAGTCGTCTGCATTAGCATCTTTCTCGCATAGATTTTTTTCTAAATTATTAATTTTCATGCCCACGTAGTTTACTTTTTAACAGACGAACCTGCAGCCTAGATGACAACACTCTTTTCTTACTTTTTGATTAATATGGATTAATTAGGCTAGTTCGATCGATTGAAAGATTGAAAAAAATTAAAATATTTAAATTTTTTAAAAATAGCATTCTTTTTTTTATTTTGCGTATTTTAATTTCTATAATTTTATTATTTTGTAATATTATTATGAGAGAGTGAGAGTTTAACAAATATTTTTATTCGAAGAGAAGTTTATTTCTTTCAATTCATCAAAGGCAAATATTTGTAATTTTTATATATATTTATTTTCCGATAAAATATTTCTTTTATTTTATATTCATGGTATCAAAAATATTATTAAATAAAATATAATAATAAATATAATAATAATCGAATCTACTTCATTAATATTTAAATGCTATAACAAATATAACAGTAAATAAATATTTTTTATAGTCATTATATATTTCTTTCATATTTCTTCTAATATATTAAAATAATAAGAAAATATGAAAACAAATTTTTTCTAGTTGTATATAGAAGGATTATCAAATATTTTCTTATTAAATAATTAACTCTATCGTATTGTTAAAAATATCAATTTTCAATTCTTCGATCCAGAGTATCAATATCATAATTAATGACGAAAAAAATTTTTAAAAGTGACAAATAAATTAATTTACAAAAAAAAAGACATAGAAACCAGCTTTCAGAATTCGGCTAAAATTCTTGGTATCGAATTAACCACATTAAAAGGTGTTTCCTTGGCTGCAAGTTAGTTGTTACGGGCTAAGTACGAACAATAAATTCCGAAATGAAAGTTAAAGTGCATGTCTCGTGATGCACTTAGTGTTCGCAAAAGCGCAACGGGAGCAAAACACTAATAAATAGTCTGGATGAAAATGGACCGCTCAATCGTGAAGGTCCAGAAAGAATCTATATAATAATCAACTATCAGCAGAACGTCCTCATTAACTATGCCTTCGCTTTCAACTATTGTGCAGCATGACGAACAAACAAATTCGACACTGAAAAAATCAAACTAATCGCTAAGCAGAGTTCCTAATTTGTTGTTGTCGGAGAAACGAATATTATTATTTTTTTATTTTCATTTTTCTTTTTTTTCTTTTTTAAATTACACGACAATTTTAAGACTAAATCCTGACTTTATTCATTTTCATTCAATCGCGAGATTTGTATCGCGTATATCACTTAAACGAACCGAGTTTACGCGGCAAAATTAAACTAAATGTATCGATGACTACATGTTACATGATTTCTCAGCGTTCGATTTGATCTCTTTTGCGAGAGCTTTTTTTTTTTTTTTCTCTCTAAGCGATTTCAAGCGAATGCTTCGAATTTAAAGCGGTAAACTTGGATGCACAATACCGTGCAAAATTATTACTGTTTATCTTCGTTGATGTTTGAATGAGAAACAAGTAGATATGAGAGTGGTAAGAAATATAAATATCATAATATAACAAGAGTTCGTTTCATACGCAATGCAAGATGCAATTATCATTAAGAAGGAATATTTACATTTTTTAGTCATTAAATTGGTGCAAAATTAATTAAATAATAATTTAATTTAATTAAAAAGTGCGAATTATTGTTCGTTTGTCATTGAAGATAGAAATAATTGTAACTAGTGAATTGAATCAATGTAGTGGTTAAAAGATAAAAATTTATCATGATAACGTGAATAATTCCAAAACATTCCGTAAATAATATCAATGCATCATTCAAAAAGTATTTTACAATTATTATTTTACAAATATTGTCATTTTTTTTAAAATGGAATGACATGTATATCTTTTTATCGATTATGTTTTTGCACGGTATTGTTGTTCGCTAACTGTTTAACTCCTTCAACGTTGCACATTCAGAAACATATTTGTATGCACGTAAACGGTGCACACAAGCAAAACTTCATACATAAAAAAGTATCGACAGAGAAATCTTAAGCAACGATAATACACAAGAACGTCTGCACAACTAGCGCAATATATAATATTAATAATTTGTATGCAATTGCTTGGCTATCGGCGTTCAATAATTAAATATAAACGAAGCGGTGTGCTTCATTTCGAAACTAGAGGGAAATTCGGATGGTGTATGATACATGTAAATAGAATTTAAAAAGAATATTTCGAACAAAATTTCGTAACGATACATATTTAATCATAAATGTTAAGTATGTATTCATAATAATATACAGAGTTACCGACTGATGGTACAAAGAGACGAATCTATATATAAAAATAAGTCAAAAAGAAAAAAATAACGGGGCTTCGTTTTCGAGTAAATCGATATTGGAGATTATTCGTGCATTTGGCTATATCGTAAAAAAGTTTTTGTTGCGTTTGCATTTATGAATGCCATGAATATTATCAAAGTTAAATTTTTATTTGTCATTCTGTTAATATGACAGATAACATGGATCTTAAATACATCTAAGTACATCTAATAATATATCTAAAATCTCTATAATATATTTTTATTATGCATAGAATGTTATTAATTGATTCTATTTTTTCGATTTATTTCGCATATAGAATCATTTCTTTTCAACTTGTACTATCAGTTTGGTAACATCCTATATATTTCTATGGAAAAAATTTTTACTAAATATTACACATGCGAAAACGCATAATTTCCTAAATAATTCTTATTTTTCTTATTAAAATTTCGAAATATCGAAATTTAAAGAAAATAAATTCTAAATATATATTTATATTTATCTATTAACGATTAAATATTAGATAAATAAATTATGAAATACGAATGAATTGTTTTTTAATGGCCAAATTGAAATTAATACTTTATTTTAATAATTAATGATGTATTTAATATTTATTTTTACTTTATTATTTTTAAAAAAATTTTTATTTTATTATTTTTAAAAAAATTTAACAATAAATTTATTTAATATATTCATATTTAATTAATTCTCAATATTCTATGCAAAACATGAAGAGAATAGTATTTTATTAAGAAAGAAATTATATTACAAAAAAAATACACTTTGAAATAAAGGTATTTTTATCGAAATTAAATTTCCATCCAATTTATCGACAGTTTTTGTTCAATTATTTAAAGAATATAATTTGAACGAAATTACGTTAGCAGTAATTAAATTGATATCTGTTAATTTATAATTCGGTTGACTTTAATTTATTTCACTGAAGAATTTAAAAATAACTTATTTTGACGACAAAATCATGTTTTTAAATTTTTAATTATTAAACATTTTATTATTTTTAAATTTATTCTTCCACTTTCATTACTTTATTATTTCTTTGATATATAGAATATATATTTTTATCAAACATTATTTACAAATTATATTTATTAATTACAAAAATCTTCGTATATTACAGAAAATTCATTTTAACTTGAAATTTCTTTTTAATAATTTAAAAAGAATATTTAATTTAATAATTTAAATTAAAAATAATTTAATAACAAATATTTTTTTAATAAAATTACGAATCATACTCTTGACAATATATTTCAAAATTACTGAAAAAAGTAGAATTTCTACAAAAAAACTTCTATGTTTTATATGTTCATAATGTTTCGAGAAAAACAAAATTTTTTTTCTTTGTTAATTTGAATTTTAAATTATGCAAAATTTGCGTTAATGTAGAAAAATATACAAGATATCTCACAAATGATGATACAATCGTGAATGAAAAAATAAATTGAAATATATAGAATACAATTTTTTTCATGAGATTTCAAGTAAATCAAATTATTTTTCAAAAATTTTCAAGTACGAAAAAATTACCTGTTTGTCAATTTTGACATATAGTCACTTATCAAATTTGACATATGAATCGATAGAATTAATATAAAATATATTAAGAATATAAAATAAATTTTTTCCACATAAAAATTAGTTTCTCGAGAAAATTGAAAATTTAAAAAACTCGAAAACATAAAAAGTTGAGCTTCAACGATAAATAAATTTTGTTCTATATTTTTTGCTTATTTTCACACGTAGAACAATTCCAATATCGATCTCTATCCAATCAGGAAATTAATTAATTTTATTTCCATTTGAAAAACTTTCAAATTCGAAAACGAATTTTTCAAATAAAAAAAATTTATATTCTATACTTTCAACTTATTTTTCCGCGTAGAGATCTCTTCCTCCATGATCGTGCCATCATCCGTGAGACATTCTGTGTATCTATCTATCGACGAATTCTTGGATTTCTGTTCAATCGTGATGTATCCGAAGAATGGATTCGCATCAGCAGCGCGGAAGCGAAGTCCAGAATCTCGCAACGAATCGATATTGGAGATGAAACGGTAAAAATATTCGGAATATATTCTTTTCACAGATTTTCCGCTAAGATTCGAAAAGCACTTTCATCTTGGGTGAAAGCACTTGGAGCCCGACAACTTTGCCAAATGTCTTTTTTCGGTGCCTGCAAATCTTATCGATTGTTTCGTACCAATATTCTTTCCAATATTTCTCCCTCTGTTCTTCTCTTCTTTTCGCACAAGATGTTCCATTTTAATCTCGCCATATTATATAATTTTTAAAATTGTTGCTTGCAAAGAAATGATTTAGTAGCAATGAGTTATTTTTGATGAAATCGCATTTCTTCTGAGATAAATCATTGTAATTTAGAAGGTAATTTAGAAGGTAGTTGAAATAAAAATTGAATCAAAAGATTCAATATGTAAATAATATTAAGTATAAAATTTTATTCCATGTTTTGTATTAAATCTTTCATCATATGTGTAGAAATTAATAGTTATTATTATATATTTAGTTAATTAAATATCTAGTTAATTGAATAAAATATTTTTCTGGAATAAAATTCTCTCGTAATTATTTGAATATTAATTGCTTTTTGATATTTTTAGTTCTAAAAATTCATTAAAACAATTTATTGAAATTTATGGAAGA